TCTCGGGGGGAAAGGGATGTGGTGGGTGCAGGAAGAGACTGGACAAAAATCTTACACCTATGGATGAGAACAGTGGGGGAAGGGTAAGGGCAGAGGGTGGGGTGGGAACCGGGTCGAGGGGAGCTATGGGGGGGGGGGGCAACTTTAATAATCTGAACCATAAAGATTTAATTAAAAAATAAGTCAATATTAACATATGCATAATAACTGTGTGTGAAATATGGCTTAATTTTTTGACATAAGAAAATAGTTGCTTCCACTTTATGCAAAAGTAAATATTGTCCTTTGCTTAGTGGCTGCCCTTGTCATTTGGGAAACTGATTACTATTTGCAGATCTAAGAAAAGCTAAATTTTACTTGCCATTTTTTATCCTCTATTGTATATGCCTCCAGTTACCTTAAGTTGAATAATATGGAAACTTAAATGTATACTAAATAATCATAAAATTTATTGGGTAAAGTTTTGTTTTATGTTTTTAATATAATGGATGAACATTCTCTCAGAAAAAAAAAATTGCTTGCATCTTGTGGCTCTTGGTTTTTTTTTTTCCACATAAAAATACTCTTCAGTCCTGCATACAAAAGAGCATGTGGGAAAGATTGAGAACTGAACACTTCTTGTAATTTATGTAGGGAATTAATGAGATAATATATAATATTTATAATAATGTTTAAATGGGTATTGATCATGGACCTAGGGAATACCACATTTCTGTCTTTGATCCGCCTTGAATAAGAGATCCTGCAAAGACAAGATATTGTGACTGGTGATTCTGATACATATGCCCACATCCACCCTTAATTCACAAAACACAGGTCTATACAATAGAATTTCCCAAGCAAAGGACCCAGTGATCCCACTTCTGGGAATACATCCTTAGAATCCTGAAACACCAATCAGAAAGAATGTATGCACCCCTATGTTCACAGCAGAGTCATTTATAGTAGCCAAGATCTGGAAATATCCCAAGTGCCCATCAGTAGACAAATGGCTAAAAAAGATTTAGTACATTTAATCATGGAATACTATGTGGCTGCAAAAAAGATGTCTCCCTTACCCTCTCAGACAGCATGGGGGGAACTGGAGAGTATTATAATAGGCAAAATAAGCCAGTCAGAGAAAGACAAGTATCACATGCTCACACTCATATGTGGAATATAATGAACAAAATAAACTGCCAAACTGACAAACAAAAGAGAACCAGAGGCATGGATACAGGGAAAAAACTGACAGGCCTCAGAGGGGAGGGGCATGGAGGAGATTGGAGGAAAGAACGAGTGAAGGGATTAGCCACAGAACATATATGCATAGCCCATGGACACAGACAATAGTGTGGTGAAGGCCAGGGGAGGGGGGACAGGGGCTTGGTGGAGGTGGCAAAGGGGGAGGAATGGGGGACATCTGTTATACTGTCAACAATAAAAAAATCATCCCTTCAGGTGTTTAGGACAGGAACCTGGGATCTAGTCAACTTTTTCATGTCATTTTAAAAAATGTGATGCTGGTTTTGTAACAAATTACCCCTAATTTAAGAGCTTAAAACAGTAATCATTTATCCCCTCCCACAGTGAACACAAAATTAAATTTAAAAAATAAGAAGATAGTAGCAAAACACAGACAACAGTGTGGTGATGGCCAGGGGCGGGGTGGGGGTGCTGGGTGGAGGTGGGA